CGGGCTGGCTGCAGGAAGGGCAGAGCGCGGCCCCCGCCGCTCCTCCGTGCCGCCGCTAGATGGTGAATACAAAGGACGCGACTATGTACTGTCCAGTACATAGCCTTTTGACAAGAAAATTTTAAACACGGACTCCAAGGGAAGCGTTCTCTCTGACAGTCTGGAGGGCGTGGGAGCAATGATTCCTCCTGCCCCCTAGACTGCTTCAGTTTTACATCTTACTCCTTTACATCTTACTTTATACCCCTGAGCTGAGATACTCGAATCACCGTTTTCCTTGTTAACATTATAGAGCTACCAGTGTAACAAAGGATAACTGTGTGCCCCATCACCGTCTCAGGGTAACCAGGGAGAGAAACCTTGAGGCTGAAAGAAAACTTGAACCAGGATAACGAAAGAGAGAATAACAAGAGTAACCACAAAGACATTTAACGATATGCAAGTGTTATGCAAGCATGCGAATATATTCAAAGATGCAAGGGAATATGTCGATAGAAGTTCTAGACTGGACTTGGCAGCAGATGGGAGCACCCAAATCCAGATGACAGTCCGAAAAGAAAGAAAACAAACCAGAAAAGGAGGTGTGCCACTCCCACCCAGAGAAGCAGGGGAAAGATGACCTGTCCTGATGAGAAGTGCTCCTCCACAGCATGAAAACAGGAAGCAGGAACACCAGCAGCACAAGGAGAGATGAGGAACAGCTGACAACGATCCTCCCAGCACAGCAAGCACTGAAGGCCCCGGAGCTTGCCTTAGGGGCCCTTACATAGCAAGCACCGTGGGAAGGAACACTGTCGTTGGTCCACTTGGGCCGTCTGACCTACCCTCCCCACAGGCACAGCTGCCTGCCTGCCCCCCGTGATTGCCACCTGGGCCAGGCACCCCAGAGAACTTCTAACCTGGTGCTCTCAAAGTAGGACAGGTACTATCATAGAAAAACATTGATCCAATAGGAGTAATCAGTTGCATTTTAAATAAATGGTCAATTTTTGTACGTGTAAGATTTAATGGATAACTTGTTTGAGGCTCACGAATGTTTTCAAGATTTTTATAATACAAAGACCCTACAAAGCCCTAATTGCTGTGATGCAGTACCTCCCTGCACTCTTCACATAAAGGGACCCTTTACCTGCCTTTTCAGTGTGCTTTTGTTGGCCCCACATCTCTCTTAAAACTTGGCAGCATTACTGTCCAGTACATAGCATTTTGACAAGAAAAGATTTTATTTTTTGGATGCAAAGGCACTTATGGCTGCATATGGAAGATGTGAAAGATGCATCAAATAAAATATTAAAATAATGTAGTGATAATGTAATAACAACAATGGAAAGTATTTGCTTCAGGCAGACGGTGATGCTGAGCATTGCTGCAGTTACTAACTCCTGTCATCCACAAAACTGCCCATGCAGAGTTTCAGTGCACTTTAGCCTAGTACTTACTTGATGCATGAAAATGGATAGCTCATCAGCAGCTCAGAGGGATCTGTGTGTCTTTTCAGTCTGTCCGTCTATCAAGGCTGTATTGCTGTCCTCAGCAGGGAACAAAAAGCTTGGGTGACTCCTCCACTGTTGCACAGAACACCTGTGATGCATTGAACGTCTCTTAAGTGAATAGTCCAGGAGCTTCATATAACAAGGTCTTGTAACCAAAATCCCACAAACTTTAACGCAGTAGTTACTACATATTGTGAAAGTCAAATATACACTTGCACTGCTGTAATGGCTTCAGGTTTTCTATGAAACAGTGATTTGGTTGAAATCCAGTTTTGACTTCGAGGGAGCTGTGAATGGAATAGTCATTTAAATGAGATATGTGCACCGCATTTTTATGTATTTTTTTCAAGATTTGTAAGGACTAAACCTGAGCAAGAACAGTTAAAATTGCACCGCATCTTCAAGATATGTATTTGAAATAGTGCCATATCTTATTTGCAACTTCAACTGTAGTGCAATTTCTGCCTATTTTGGTTAGATGATTTTGGTTAGGTAATTGTCCCAATGTCTGTAATTGCTTTTTGTTTCTTAGGGAACACCTTGAGCTTCATCATGGGAGCTGTAGTAGCTGATGATGGTCCATCTGGTGTTAAAGCCCCCGACGGAGGCTGGGGCTGGGCTGTCCTTTTTGGCTGTTTTATCATCACAGGATTCTCCTATGCCTTTCCTAAGGCAGTTAGTGTCTTCTTTAAAGAACTTATCCGGGAATTTGGCGTTGGATATAGTGACACTGCATGGATTTCCTCCATTCTGCTGGCCATGCTTTATGGAACAGGTAAGATGCTCTCTGGTTTTGACAGTATTGCATTGTACAACAATGTTTGTAAATCATACAGCCACTTTCAGCATGAATCATGATTGCTTCTCATTAGTGGTTTGCAAGCAAGGCATTCCAAAGAACAGTTACAATTAATCACATAAATCCAAATTGATATAAGCACATCCAGCTTGCATATAAAATTAAATCCCTGAAACTCAGCATCTACTTGAGTGGCACTCTGAGGATGAAAGAGACTAAATGTTTGACTGTAGAGGACAGAACACTCTTCTCGATCAGCCTGATAATACGGGCAAAGGACAGAAAGAATCACAGAATCATTCAGGTTGGGAAAGCCTTTAAGATCAACTCCAACTTTAAAGCTAATACTGCCAAGTCCACCAAAGAAGAAACCCAAACTGACATAAAATCAATGGCAAAAACTGGTTTGTCTTAGCAACCCTAACTTGCTCTTCTTGCCTAGGTCCACTCTGTAGTGTATGTGTCAATCGCTTTGGCTGTCGGCCTGTCATGCTGGTGGGCGGCCTTTTTGCCTCCATGGGGATGGTGATAGCCTCCTTCTGCACGAGCATCGTTCAGATCTATCTAACAGCAGGTGTGATTACTGGTAAGCAGTATGCATGGCTGAAAATTAGTTAGCTAATGTTTTGGCTTTATGCTCTACTTTTGTGTAAGTGACAAATAGCTAAAACATCAGGATTATCCAAACAGGCATTTTTAAAGATAGCAGCTAAATGTGGAATTAAGCTGTCATTTCTTTTTTAAGGAATATTATTTTTTCTGGGATCTTTAACTACTGCTGTAATCATTGAAGTGTAACCGTAGAGTACAAGAGTATTATGGAGGTGGAATCCTTTTAAAAATGTTATCTTAGAATTCTTTTGTCCGTTTGAAATAAGTCTTTTAAGTCATGAATCAAAAAAAAGTGTTATTTGATTTTTTAAAATTCTTTTTTAATAATGATACTATAGGCCAGTATTGATTTTTATGTGCCCTCTGTTACAGGTTTGGGTCTGGCACTAAACTTTCAGCCCTCACTCATCATGTTAAACCGTTACTTTGACAAACGCCGGCCCTTAGCCAACGGGCTGTCTGCTGCTGGGAGCCCAGTGTTTCTTTGTGCTCTCTCACCATTGGGGCAGATACTACAACATGAGTACGGTTGGAGAGGAGGATTCCTTATACTGGGTGGGATGCTGCTCAACTGCTGTGTATGTGGAGCATTAATGAGACCTTTGGAGCCACCCAAAAAGTCTGAAGGTGCCAAAGAACCAGCTGAGAAGAAAGTGAAGAAAAAACTTCTGGATTTCAGTGTGTTTAAAGATGGTGGTTTTATAATCTACACGCTAGCAGCATCTATCATGGTGCTTGGCCTCTTTGTTCCCCCAGTTTTCGTGGTGAGCTACGCCAAGGATTTAGGGTATCAAGACACCAAAGCAGCATTTCTTCTGACTATTCTGGGATTCATTGATATCTTTGCTCGGCCTATTTGTGGAATGGTAGCTGGTCTTAAATGGGTTAGACCACGCTGTGTCTACCTCTTCAGTTTTGCTATGATTTTTAATGGCTTTACAGATCTCATGGGTTCTATGTCTGTTGATTATGGTGGCCTGGTGGTCTTTTGCATTTTCTTTGGCATTTCTTATGGAATGGTAGGTGCTCTTCAATTTGAAGTTCTCATGGCTATTGTTGGTACTCAGAAGTTTTCCAGTGCTATCGGTTTAGTGCTCCTGGCAGAAGCTATGGCTGTTCTAATTGGTCCACCATCAGCGGGTAAGTATACCATCTAGTTCAGAATTCAATATCATTTGCATTGCATCCGTTTACACAGATTGTATGATAAGGGAGCACAAAAAAAGATGGCCCAAGCCACCTGAGAAGGGCATACCGTACAAATGTTGCACGTGCTCCAATCACTTTTCTGCAGTTACAATCTGAAATAATCCAAGATAGGCTGGGATGAATTTTTTCCTTCTTAGATCTGTTTCAGGATTGCTTGAATTGCCATCTGGAGATACTGCTCCTTCACAGAAAGCCTACAGGGGGACCACTTTTTAGTGGATAGCTAATATTGTATGAGATGAGTTTTACACATACAGTGAGTAACGTTTGTGAAGTTCAGACCTCTTTGGAGTTGGGATTCAGAATAGGAAACCTCTCCCTTTGTAAGGTAAGAGAGGCTCTCTATATCCATGAGAGAGACTTTATCAGTACGAGAGACTCTCTCTACCCATAATGTGTTTGGAGGAGGAAGAAAAACATCAGGAGGAGGGGGAGAATCTTATACAGAGGACTATAAAACTGGACTGTTGTAAGGAAGGTAGCTTGCTTCTATTGCACGTCTCACAACCCAACAATAAGGGGACATTACAAAATAATCAAATTCATTAATCTGAATTAGAATATGCAAGTTAGCTGCTAATCAAAGAACAGTAATTTTGTAGACCCTGAAAAAACCCAACAATACAAAAGAACAAAAAACCCCCACACCCAAAGCACACCAGTTCACTGCCATAGAATGTTTACTGTTTGTATCAGACACTAAAAAGCATCCAGTATCTTTATTATGACAGAACCCTTAATGGTGTAAACAGTACTATGCACTACTTCCTCTGATCTTCAGGTTTGGAGAGACACTGCTTTCACATCCTCCCTGCTGTTCTTTCACCACCACCAAGTCCTGTGAAAATGTAGCTTGACTGAAACCTCAGAATTGGGCAGTTACTCCAGCTGGACTGTTAAATAAGATTTGCATTTTAAGGAGAAAGTGCACTGCCCAAGTGGAAAAGCCAGTGAGACTAGGAACAAGAGGAAGCTGATGATGCAGACCCCACTCAGCACTTACCTCTTGCATGTGAAGGCTAGGCTGGTTTTATTCCAGTGGAATTGCATGACTCTGTGTGCGCAGGGGATTATGGGTTTTGGGATGTGACATCATGTCAGTGAATGCTGAACTGAACTATTGGGATTATGGGTTTCAGGATGTGACATCATGTCAGCAAATGTTAAATGAACTGAACTATTGAGAAATATTTTGTTAAAAACTTGTTAAAATGCTAGTTCAAAAAAAACCTGCATAGATAGTCACGGTACTTCTAGACAGGAGTAGTTTACATGTTTAAAAAAAAAGCAGAGAGATTTTCACTGCAAGATAATAACTTTTTTTAATTACCTGGAATGTTGTCTTTTTTTAGGAAAACTCTTGGATGCAACAGGAAGATACATGTTTGTTTTTATTATTGCTGGAATTGAAGTTACCACCTCAGCACTCGTACTGGCCTTGGGAAATTTCTTCTGCATTAAGAAAAAACCAGAAGAACCGCATACAAAGGAAGAAGCAGCAGAAAGAGAGGAATTAAACAAATCTGAAGATAAAATTCCTGAAGATGCCAAGGTGGACTCTATTGAAGTGGAGCAGTTTCTGAAAGATGAGCCTGAAAAAAATGGCGAAGTTGTAACTAACCCAGAAACATGTGTGTGAGCATGACAGGAAGGCAAAAAGTGTTTAGAAAAGAAAGATTTTCAACACTATTTATTTTAGAAGTAGAACTAGTTTAGGGCTGGGACATTTGCTTTATTAACTGGAGGCCAGTCAGCTCATCAGGTCTCTCTGGAGGCTGATTAGCTAGACAACCTTTTATCGGAAAATTAGCTTTATTGGTAAAGGTGGAGCATTGTGGTTATACTTTTTATGTAAACTAAAAAGCTTTTATAAATACGAGTCTTGCTATGCATCACCAGAAACTGCTCACTTGGAAGAGATATAGGAAGAATATATTTTAAGAAAATTGTAACTATATGTACGCTTTCAGACAATATTGGTGAAATCACTGTGTTGCGTGGCTGACTGTAATTCCCTTTCTGTGTTCTTTGTGAAGGGGAGTTTGAGATGGAGAAAAATCTCAGGAACTTAAAGGTCTCTGTTAGGCTTTTCAATTTCTTACTTTTTTAGATTTTTAGATTGATTGGCTCAGCCCCAATTTAATTTTGATAATATCTCTTACTTTGATTTATGTAAATGTATTTCTGCGTTTTGTCTAAACCTGTAATCTTTGTAATTGTCATCTGGAAATACTGTACATGGAAAGGCACATTGCAGATCCTGTTCTCAGCCGATCACACAAGTGGTAGTTCGAGCTAGTACTACAAGAAAAGAAATCAGGAGCAGAATCAGTCCTGACAGACCATAAGCAAAGTTAGCCTGCGTTTACATACATGGTTTTCAGTGCAGGTTCCCTGCAGCATCGAAAAATACTACCATTAACATGGAGAAGACAGAAATTAGGTTTAGCAGAATCTTCTGAAAGAGAAGATCTTGTATAGAAATAGTGTAAGTTTCCAGATGACCTGTAAATTAGAGTAGGAAGACCTAGGGAAGAGGCTGGACTATTTTGAAAAAAAACAAGGCCATCTTTAAAATGCAATGTCAGAAACAGAGGGAGGTCTTAACATGTCAATTTTATTTATTTCTTTTTTTTTTTTTTTATTTAGCCCTTTTTGCTTAATCTATGGAAGTTCAAGGTGCTATTCTTGATGGTTGAGAAAACATGATAGAACTGTTGATCGTATTTATGAGAGCAATGCATAAAGACCAATCAAGAATGGGGTTGGTTTTGCTACTCCTTGCACAAACAGAATGGGTAGTCTCTGGCCAGTCTTCAAATTTTCTGACGTGGGTATGAGGGAAGGAGGAGAAACAGAACCAGATCAGACAAGGCAGTGGCAGCACATTTCAAGAAATGTGGAAAGGGAAAAGATTCATTGTGAGGCAACTGAATAGAAGAAGGAGGTAAAAGGAAGGCATTCTTTTTTATTCTTTGCCCAAACACATTCAAGATATATTATGTTTTGTACAAAATCAGGCTACTGTAACCCAGCTTTCAGATATGTTTATAAAAATTTCTCCAGGCTTTGTGACTGCAGTAACAATCTTGAAAACAATTAGTCAACTGTAACAGATTGTTTTCTTTTTGATCGCAAAGGAATACTGGCTTTTAGGTGCCCAGATTGATCTGCTTAGTAACTGAAAACTAAAAGACCCCAATCCCATAAAGCACTGTATCTCTTTTAAAAAATAACACCATTAGTTATTTCATAGTTGGCCATGATAAGAGAAACATACAATAACTCCAACCTAGTGCCCAAACCACGAGCCATTCCCTAATAGAACTCTCAGATACCAGCTTCTACTCTGGTAGTTTCTTCAGAATGTTTTTGCATTGTTAAGACAACCTTGCACGGAAATTAAAAAGTTAGCATCATGACTATTTTTTGAGTAATTTAAAAAAGAAATGGATGCTGCACTGAAAAAAAAAATCTTTGTATTGCACATACTTCAAAAGCTTTTATTTAGTAGCAGGAATTGTGCTGGCATGTCCTAGTTATAAGAATTTAAGCCACCAATCTTGGCTCCAGCTTGCTAACGACTAATCAGTACTTGGGCCACTGCTAGCTCCAGAAAGCTACCATACGGAAGGGCAAGAAGAGAATGGGATCCACGGATCAATTCATGACGTCCCTGGAGGCTTCTTCAGATGATACATGGAAGACCTCATACAGCTTTCAGACTGGAGTTCCCTGTTCTGTTTCAAAAAGCAAAAACTAGAAGCCTTCCAAAAGGTGAACTCTGATTCTTACTGTGGGTTTTGATGACCAGATTTCTTTGCTAGATAATGCTATACTGTTGCCACAGAACCAAGTGATTATTCCCTTGACCTCAGGGTTTAGCACAATTCTAAGTTTCTGTACATTGTGCAAATTGTCTACGCTGTAACATCTCAAAAATTGGGGTTTATCATACCGAGTTCCCCAGACTGTTTCATTTTCCATGCATAATACCTTTATGGTTAAGCTAGAAACAAGGAGTATTACATTCATGTTTTATGTGACTGAAGCAGAAGAGGAAGTTATCAAGACAAGGAAAACACATTTCAACAACACAGCTTAAATAATTTCTGAAGTAAATCTAGCGTCCACAGAAAGTGCGTTGGCCTATAGAAGTCCTTTTGCTCAACTCAAAGACTAACTGCTGTTGAGGAGGACTGCCACTGTTCTTGGGCTGTTTTCAGCACAGACCTACCAACAAACAGACTGCAATACTTTTGAGAGCAGGGGATGCTCACTGCAGGAGAGCCATCAAATCACAACACTCTTACTGACTGGGAAATAAGACTTGGAATTTAATTTGCTAAGCAGTATCACATAGACTATAAAATATTTCACCATTTTTCATTATAAACAGGAAGCATCAAAACTCCTGATGCATCGAAACTGGCAGGCTTGAGAGTACTTCCAAGTTCTGGAGCCAGTTATGTTCCCTGCTTCCATTCTGTCCCATTCAGGGGTGACATGCAGGCGTGTGCTACCCCTCCAGTCTTCTTTCCACTCAAATGCCTTCATCTTGAGAGAGACTGATGGGAAGGAAACCTCCATGCACGCCAGATCCCTGGCCTGAACAACTGCAGGCTGCTATGCTAGGCTGTGCTGAGACATGTACCCAAATGCTCCTACGGACATGCCGTAAAGGCCTTTACACTGAGCTCCCGGTTTATAGACCTCCCTCCTTCCTACCCCAAGATGTTAAAAGAAGCAAGCAGCGAGTCCTTAGGTTCTCGGTGCTGTCTTAGAACACCAGCTGGGAACCGTTAACATATAGAAGGAAAGGATGGTATTGGAACCCTTTTGTATTGGCAAGACTAGCCTGGCTTCTTACTAATTGAACTGCTTATTGTAAATCCTCAAGGAATTGCTTTTAAACCCCGCCAGGTATTCCTGGTATAGTATTTCTTTAATCTCAGCATCACTGAGATCCCCTTAAGAGGACTCTGTAAGATGTGCTCTTGCATGTATTTTGAGGACACGTGGCTGAAATCACAAAACATTGCTAAGGAGACGCTAACCACCCAGAGTCACAAGCAGAACATCTACCTGGATGAACCTTTGTTCAACCTTCACCTGGTTAAAATTTGAAAAAAGGGAAATTTGAAAAAAAAAAAAGGGAATATGAAAAAAGGGAAGGGAAGGCAGGTAAAACACAACTGAATTGCCAGGCATTCCAAAGACAACATTATAATTTGCTCTTGCATCATATGCTACTGGAACAGATTTATTTAGACACAGATTTCTTTAGACACAGAATTCATTAATCTATTTAAGAAGTCTGTGAGGGAAAAATAAAAAAATCACAACTGCAGAAAATCCTAATACTATAAAACAGTCGAAAGGTAAGTTTTCATAGATTCTTTGAAACTTAACAAACTTTTTAGTGTACAGGCTAGCATAATTTTTACATCTTTGTACATTTATAAATTGTGTACTATAGGATTTATGGTTAAAATGTTGTATGGTCAATCATGTAATGGCTCTTAGGCCTTTCATTTGCTAATGCAACGCAAGAAGGTGTGTATAAATGCCTGTAACACAGAATATATAAAGAGTTGTATATGTGTGTGCATATATATATATGTTTATATATGTATGTATCAATCTATCTATCTCCAACATGCAAAATACCCGGTAGAGTAGAATAGAGTAGAATAGAGACAGTTTTCCTGTTTACGAGATAACAAGCAATGAAAGCTATTTTCTTCCTCCCCCTATACAAAGATAAGTTTGCTTTTTTTAAATTTCTATATAAAGTATCTTGTAGCTATTTGGAACCTAGAAGATCTCAGCAGAATAAAAAAATCTTGAAGTGATGCAGCTGTTTAAAATCACAATTCTTCTCCAATTCTTAAATACATTACATGAAATCTTCAGCAGTACCTGCTGCTAAAGCAGCTAGTTCCCTAAAACTGAGACTTGAGATAGTATGAACGTGTGGTGAGAAGGACTGGACAGACCTTGTGCTTGTTCATGTTAAATCCCACCCAAACAAATGTGTGTTAGACAATGTAAAATCATTCACTACAAAGAAAACATTTCCCTAGCCAAGCAATGAAACCTCAAAATGAAAATCTGAAATACTCTCACATAGGCACCTTTGTAACATCCCAAAGAAAAGCTTCAGTTTAGTAGGCAATCACAAACAGGGCTTTTAAGAGAATGCAAAGTCTTATATGCTACAGCGGTAAGTACCGACTTGTATATTTGTGTCTGTGTCTCTGCCACAGTTGACTTTGGGATTATGGGAATACACTTCAGTTTTGTGCAAGATGACTTTCTGATTCTTGTTAATGCACTTTAATGTAATGTGTACATTTATATTTAGATTTTTTTTTAATGCTTTTCTAGTAAACTGGTCCAAATGTAGCGAATAAATATCTGGTTGTCAAAAACTGGGGATATGAGAAAATAAGCTTACAAAAAATAATTTTTAACACCCAGATTTAGAAATTTGGCCTCATTTGCACATGCTCAAATAGATAAAGAGAAGCAGAGTGCTTAGAGAGAAAATAAGAGGTGATGCTGAGCAGACAGGCAGCCAGAATTTAATGTGGGCAAGGGGTCTGCTTTTGCCATGACTCGTAGTTCAGTCAGTTCCAAACCAGAAATGGAAAATGATCCTGAAGACTATTTAAAAGCATCAAATAGTTTAAAATAGCTATTAATTTTGTGGTGCTCCATGTAATAATTACTGTTCATGTCCTCTGAAGAATGCTCCAGGTTTTGTTTGCAGGTGAAGTTTTATGAACTGCTATGATTTCTAAAGCCCTAAATACTTTGAGTGCTGACCTGCAAGCATGCTGTCTTTACCATCAAGTGATGCTCTTCGGAACTTGAAAGCTCTTAAGAATTCATTTATGGTGGCTTTTTTTGGATCATGGTATAATCTCAAGGGTACACCCAACTGAATCCAAAATACAGTCTCTTCAGTGTAACAGGAAGTACCTTTTGCTATCTAGAAGCTGTCTAGAAAGCTCACGCCTATCTGTGTCTAATTCCAGATATCTCTCCCGAGAAATTTTGAAGAAAAAAGCTCAGCTTCAAAAGTTTCTCTGTATGTTTACATAGAAAAAAATCACAGGTCTAGTTTACGTAAAATCCCATGTTGAATAAACATATGATTACCTCCTGGATGCTACTTTAGTTAAATTGGTAAGACTTGAGGTATAACCAAATCTACCCTGCTGGCCATGTGCTACTACAGGAATGAATGTCACCGTGTGGACTGAAATGACAGGATTTATTGGCATGTGGTCAGCACATCCTTGTGACAGAAAAGCGAAGAGTTTGTCC